CACAAAAAACCATTGTGTAGCACTTTAAAAATAATAGTCTTGGCCGGGCGCGGTGGCTCAAGCCTGTAATTCCAGCACTTTGGGAGGCCGAGACGGGTGGATCACGAGGTCAAAAGATCAAGACCATCCTGGTCAACATGGTGAAACCCCGTCTCTACTAAAAATACAAAAAATTAGCTGGGCATGGTGGCGCGTGCCTGTAATCCCAGCTACTCAGGAGGCTGAGGCAGGAGAATTGCCTGAACCCAGGAGGCGGAGGTTGCGGTGAGCCGAGATTGAGCCATTGCACTCCAGCCTGGGTAACGAGAGCGAAACTCCGTCTCAAATAATAATAATAATAATGATAATGATAATAATAATAATAATAATAGTCTTGGGACTGGGTGTGGTGGCTTACACCTGTAATCTCAGCACTTTGGGAGGCCAAGGCAGGAAGATGATTTGAGGTCAGGAGTTCCAGACCAGCCTGGCCAACATGGCAAAATCTGTCTTAACTAAAAATAGAAAAACTGGCCGGGCATGGTGGTACATGCCTGTAATCCCAGCTACTCGGGAGGCTGAAGTGGGAGAATGGCTTGAATCCAGAAGGCGGAGGTTACAGTCAGCTGAAATCATACCATTGTCCTCCAGCCTGGGCGACAAGAGCGAAACTCCATCTCAAAATAAAAATAAAAATAAAAATAGATAAAGCTACCTCCCAAGAAGTAGCAATGCAAGCATGTTCTTTAGTGACACAGAGGTAAACGCGAGACAATCACCTGCAAAGTTGAAAGTCATTGCCTTTGGGGACTAGAGGGAGCTGGGGCTTCTGACAACAAGCCTTATAGAACCAGTTGACTCTTAATCCGGAGATCAGCAAACTTATTTTTTTTTTTTTTGAGACGGAGTTTCGCTCTTGTTACCCAGGCTGGAGTGCAATGGCGAGATCTCGGCTCACCGCAACCTCCGCCTCCTGGGTTCAGGCAATTCTCCTGCCTCAGCCTCCTGAGTAGCTGGGATTACAGGCACGCGCCACCATGCCCAGCTAATTTTTTGTATTTTTAGTAGAGACGGGGTTTCACTATGTTGACCAGGATGGTCTCGATCTCTTGACCTCATGATCCACCCGCCTCGGCCTCCCAAAGTGCTGGGATTACAGGCTTGAGCCACCACGCCCGGCCAGCAAACTTTTTCTCTAAAGGGACAGATAGCAAATATTTGACACAAGAGCAGCTACATAATTGGCAGGGCCCAGTGCAAAATGAATATGTGGGGCTTCTTGTTCAAAAAGTATGAAGAATTTCCAGATGGTCACACCCAGGGTGGGGCCCTTCAGAATGCAGGTCCTTGTGTGTGACTGTGCAGGTCACATGCCCCTGATGCTGGCCATGGTTTCAGGCTTTCCAGGCCGCACGGACTCTGTCCCATCTACGCAACTCTGCTGTTGACCACGAAAGCGGTCACTGACAATAGGTAAATGAACCAGCGTGGCTGCGCTCCCATAAAACTTTGTTAGCAAAAACCGTGGTGGGTTGGACTTGGCCCACTGTCCATAGTTTTCTGATCTCTGCCAATGAGTATGTATAACTAATACAACTGATAAAAATAAATAAAAATCATTTTCATCAGGAAGAGAAAATGCAGATGAATAATCAAGAACGTATTGGAACCCAGGCGCAGTGACTCATGTCTGTAATCCCAGCACTTCGGGAGGCTGAGGCGAGTGGATCACTTGAGTCCAGGAGTTTGAGACCAACCTGGGCAACATGGTGCAACCCTGTCTCTACAAACAATACAAAAATTAGTTGGGCATGGTGGTGCGCACCTTTAATCCCAGCTACTTGGGAGGCTGAGGTTGGATGCTTGAGCCAAGGAGGTGGAGGTCGCAGTGAGCCGACATTGCACACTGCACTCTCTCCTGGGCAATGAAGCAAGACTCTGTCTCAAAATTTTAAAAAGGGCATTTTAAAAGACAGAAATGAGTAGGGAGTTTCTCTTATACAGCTATCAAGACTCCAAAGCTAAGTAATGAAACAATGGGGCACTGGGTCAGGATTTGATATGCCAGGCAGTGGGAACAGATACCAAGAAGGGGCAGTGAATCTCCAAGGGATCAGTAAACAGTAAAAAGGAACAGAAGGAAGGGAGGGAGGAATGCTCACTCAACACTGAAACAGAGGGCTGGGAAGCGCTGGCTCGGAGCTCAGGAGCCACAGGTGAGATGCTTGCCGGCACAGACATCTGCCTGGCCCCCATGGAAAGTCCTTGAACGTGGGTTCAGCCCAAGGGAAAATCTCTCTTAGACCAGTGGTTCTCAACAGGAGAGGGGACCCACTGTTACAGTGAACCCCAAGTTTCTCTTCAAAGAATCAGTATGTCAGTATGTTCCGCTCTCTTATTCTTTCTCTATTTTAAAGTTTAACTTCCTTGTAATTTCAGTAAACACCCTTCCCCACTGGTTCTAATCAGTAGTTCACATCTGTTCCCCCGGCCCCTGTCTCCATCCTGACTCCTCCCAGTCACCTGCTCCAGTCACCTGTTCCAGTTACCTTCTTTGACCTAGGTCACCCCTGGCTACCTGCTCTGACCCACCTGTAACCATCCTTCCCGACAAAACACCCACCCTGCCTCTCCAGCTCGGACCCCTGCTCTCTTTAAAATAGTCAATCGGGATTAGCTTAACTTGTGCCATCTAACCATAGCCAACAGGGGAGCGACACAGCGGTAGAGACAACCCCTGTCAGGCATAAATCTCCCTTCCCCCTTTGTCCACATGTGCCCCCACCATTGCTCCATCCATTAGCCACACCCTTCTATAGAAGTAAATTGCCTTGCTGAGAGGATTTATCTTCGAGTGCTATTTCTTTTGCAGCATCAAAATTTTACTTATAACAGCACCCCAAGTGCATCGTCGCATCTGGGTGGTGGGTGCTACCCATGACTGGGTGTCTCACAAATGAGGACCAAAGATGCTTCCAAATACCCTACAAAGCATAGGACATCTATGCACCCCACACCAAGTAATGTAATTCTCTAGTCCAAAATGCCAGTAGTGCCAAGGGTGAGAAACTCTCTCTAAACCAAATTCCATTCCTTGCAAACCTCTGACCGACTGCAGAGGGCCTGGAAGGCCTTTGCCCCAGGCATGCCTGGCCTGGTCCAGCCTGCCAGGAGTTACCGGGACTTTCCACCTCAAGCTCCTGGAAGTGGAAACTATGCCGCCCACCCTTCCTGCGCAGGAACTTTCTCCACTGACCTGCCCAGACCCTGGGCTTCAGTGCCACTGTTCTCTCTGCCCACGCTCCCCACCCTGGGCAGGCCCTCCCTTGGCACAGGACAGGCTGCTGGCCCCGAACCCTGGGAACATTCCTGACCTTTGCTTTGGTTTCCTCCAGCTCTTGGCAACTTCTTGCTGGCCCTCAATGCCCATGACCCTGGGCCAACTTGCTGAGGCATCCATTGTTCCCTCTGCCCTTCTGTGTCAGGCTGGCTCCATCTTTGTGCCCTCCCTTGGGGAGCCCTGCTGGGTGCCCTCATCTCCCATTGGGCTATTGAGGGGCAGGTGCCAGCTCAGAGTGAATGTGGGGCTCCTCTGGCCTGCCCTTGGTCTGCTGTGGCCCTAACCTGCGGTCCCACCCAGATGGGAGGGAACGGGGACTCCTTTGGAGCTTTAAATGGAAGCAGGGTGGCCTGTGCTCTCCTCTCCTCCTCCTCCCTGAACAAACCCACAGTGACCTTGAGCAAGGCCCTTCCCCCATCTCTCTCGGAAATGCGAAGGAGCTGTGCCTCTGCGGCACTCAGAACGGGTGTGGTGGGAAGGCAGAGGGAGCCTGAGTGTGGGGGGAGGGCGCAGCATTATGCAGATGATGTGGAGTGCCTTCCCCTCGCCAGCCAGGAAACGCCCTCCCAGGGGGCCTCGAGTCTTCCTTGGGAAGGAGGGTGTGTTCTCCGCAGCCTTATTTTCCGAGGCCCTGAAGCCAGCCATTAACCTGATCATTCCAGGGGAGAAACTCACAGGGTTTTGTCCTTGAGTCAGAAATGGGCCTTGGCAGAGAAGCCTGAAGCTCTCTCCGCTGCCAGCCCAGAGCTGAGAATCCCTCAGCATGGTTCTGGAAGCTTCAGCTGTGGCCAGTGGGGGTTCTTCCCTGTTCAGGCCAAGGGCTCTGTGCCTGGGTGGGGGAAAAAGGGGGCAGGAACAGGTGCAAGAGATGCATTGTGGCCCAGAGAAGGCAGCCTGCGCTCTGCCCTGCTCTTGTGTGACCTCCAGCCATATGCTGGACCCCGAGCCACAAGCTCCCAGCTGGGAAAATCCCGACGCTCCTTGCATGAGGGTCAGGAAAAACCTTCGGCCAGTGACTGGGGCCAGCCAACCTCCTGGTAGCAGTGTCCCCTGCATGGCCATGGGGACAGGACAGAGAACGCCTGGGTGGGCCCCAGCTCTCACCTGTTACTTAGGAGCTCTGTGGCCCTGGGGGGTGTCCCCACCCCTCTGAGCTGTCACAGCAATGGGACAGGTGGGACACCTTGCCTGGGGCTCAGCACTGTCCCTACCACAGACTGAGTTCCACTGGGACCGCAAATCCTGGGTCTGAGGCGCCCACATTCTATGCACCCCAAGCCAGGGCATGAAAGAGCCTCTTCCTCCTGCAGTCCTACGGCTCAGGCTTCTGGCTCCATGGACTGGGCCCCTTGGGGTCCCTGGCGACTTAGGAAGCAGTTAACCCCTTCACTCCTCCGCTGCAGGGAAGTCTGAGGACCTACTGGTTCTATGCAAGCTTCTCCTTGCTAAGGGTCTTATTGGGACCTGCATCCAGGGCCTGCCTTAGCTTTGGGGCTCTGGAAACAGATGTGAACAGCAAATGCCGAATGGAATTCCTGGCTCAGGCTTCCAAGCCTCCTCCTGACGGTGTGGGTGTCACCACCCCTGCTACTGGAACCCAATCCGCCTCCCCTTCCCTTGCTTCGGGGACGGGAGCTGGAGCCCGCTTCCGCCTCCCGGGTCACAGGAGCACTGGAAGCAACCAGCCCAGGAAGCTGCAGCATTTCCTTCCTTTCCCACCAGCCCATCCGGGCTTGTCGAAAGAGCAGGGGCTTGCCCTGTGAAGACCGAAGCTTCTGGATGCCGGAGGGAAACCCCTGCAGGCAGGGGGCTTCCAAGCTTGGGACACCTGGGCATTCCTGGGCCAGGTCCATGTACCCTCCCACTCTGAGACCCCCAGGGAATGACTGAGGGGCCCCTGCAGGGCTGCCTGTCAGCAGTTCCCCGACCTTCTCCTTGGGGCTCAGGGAGCAATGTATGTCCCTCCCTGCAACCAAGGGGGTGGGGAAGAAGAGGAGCAGCTCCCTCCTCCCCCCTGTCCACTGGGTCCCCTCATCTTCCCTTTCATCAACGTGAGGAAGGTGGCCTGAGACTCAGCCCTGGAGCTTCCTTGGTCCTGAAATCAGAGCAGAGTGGCTGGATGTCCCCCACCGAGAATCACCTGCGCCTCCCAGCCCTGAGCAGAGCTAGGGGCAGGAGGGAACGTGGTTTCTCCATGGCCAACTGCCCAGCTACTGCTCCCCATGCCACTGCCACCAGCCCCTCCCTCACTAAGGGGCCTCTTTCACCTCCCTGGTCAAATCCACTTTCAGGAAAAGTGCCCGACAAACCTGCAACTCAGAAGCCAAATGAGACCTATTGCAGGCAGGTCCGCTGTGCTGGTGGCCCTCACACCCCAAAGAGAAGGGTAAGTCGGCCCCTCTCACTCCCTAAATCCATGTGGCTGCCCTTAGCCAAACAGGTCTGGGGGCAGGGGGGTGGGGGTAGGAGCACCTGAGGGTTGGGGCTGGCTCCGAGTGCTGCAGAGTCGAGTGTGAGCTCTAGAGTCAGACTCAGACCCTGCTCCTTAGCTGTGTGACCTTGGGTGAGCCACTCAGCCTCTCTGAGCCTCAGGCTCCTCCTGTGTAAGTGGAGCTGTCGGAGGGATGAACTGAGATACACAGGGCAAGGTGCCTGGCCCCGTAAACAGCACCTGCTGCTCCGACTGAGCGGCAGCTGGAGATGAGGGGGACTTACAGGCGCAGCGCCTTAGCAGCAGGAGAGGCCCTGGCCCTGTACAAAGAGAACGCTAGAAAGCTGTCCTGGGTCCAGTCGCAAGACCATCCTGCCTACTTATGGGGGCGCTGAGGCAGAGCTCCCTGGACTGTGCTCTGGAGAGCAGGGGGCCCTCTCCGCTCACTGCTGGCGGTCGGGGCCAAGTCCTCAGGGAACTCAGATCAAAATCTGAGGGCAGCCTTGCTGGGTCTCAGCTTTCAGAATTGATTTCTTTCGAAGAACAGGAGGTATGGCCAAGTCAGCTGGAAGCGGCTGCAGCCAGAGTCCCCCAGGGGCCCACGATGGGTGATTGATGGTAGGAGCTGTGCCTCTGGGCCAGCCCCAAAAGCCCCATTCTCTGCCATGGCTCAGACAGGGAACTCCCTGCCATTCTTGGGTGGACTCTGAAGCACCCAGTCCAGGCTCCTTGTTCAGCCTCAGGGCTGGCTCAGCAGATAGATACTATTAGCCCATTTCACAGATGGGACCTGAGGTCCAGAGAGGTCCTTCTCTGTCTGAGCTGGGATCAGATCTTACCCCATGACCTCTGCCAAGGCCTAGGCCCTCTTACCGTCCAACAGGGTCCCTGCCGGTGTCCTCAGCCTCTGCCCTCCAGACCCCAGGTAACCTGGAGCTCTGCAGATCAGAGAGCCTAGTGCTGGGAGCCTGGGCCCATGCCCCCAGCAGCCCCCAGCCCAGGGGTCCTCCAAGGCTGAACAGCAAGCTCAGGATCATCTCGGTGGTGGGGCAGGCTCAGTTCACGCTCAGCCTTGGCAAGTGGCTCCAGAAACTGCTAGTGACGTTGTCTTCGAGTTAAATCTCAGGAGGAAAAGAAAATACCAGGACAACAAAGAGAGGAAGTGGTGTGGGCCGGCCCACCCGATGGGTCTCGTCCGGCCCCCTGACCACCCCGGCTGGCCCTACAGGGGCCGACAACCACACAAGCCAGTTCCTATCCCTGAGGACTTGGCTCAGGGACTCTGGGGATGTGGTAGACACAGGGGGTGGCCCCGCCAATGCAACCTTATGGGACCCTGCTCCCTGGGAGCCAGGAAAAGAGCGTGGACTTTGAGGTGGGGCTGCAGGAAGTGGTCAGGTCCGTCTCAGGGGACCTGCTGCCCATCCACGCTGCTGGCCAGGAAGTGGGAGGCACTCCATGCCTCCTCAGCACCTTCAGCACTGGGCTGTAGGGGCCAGCAGTGGGTGGAGGCTCAGAGAACAGAAGGGGCTATTCTGGGGTCACACAGCATGCGGGCAGAGATCAGGGCATGGGGAAGCCCTTTGTTTCCCCACCCCCACCCCCTTGCATCTCACAGGAGCCCAGGGTCTTGCAGCATCCAGGATGCTGGTGGGTAGCTGCATAGCCCGGGCTGCCGGAGGCTGGCCACTCTCACCTGACAGGCCTGTATGGTCCCGAGCCCTACCTAGGATGCTGGGGACATTGACCAAGGTGCCTCCCCTCTCTGTGCCTGTCGGTCTAGGTGTAGCATAGACACAGCGCCCTGGGACCCAAGAGTACCCAGCCAGGGCTGCCCCCATGAGTGGGCAGGGGCAGGGCAGCAAATGAATAGGGACAGGGATGGGTAGGGAGGTGGCCAGCTCCTGGAGGGCAGGAGGTATGAGAGCTGGGCTGATCCCGCAGGAGCCCAGGGAGCCTGGTCTCTGCCTTCCTATCCTGCAGGAAGGTGAGGGTGAGCGAGCCTCCCTCCTTCCCTCCCTCCCTCCCTCCCTCCCCGCCCCCACAGCGCGCGGGGCTGGCTGGGCTCCAGCTGGCCTCCGCATCAATATTTCATCGGCGTCAATAGGAGGCAGCCGGGACCGCTGCGGCAGCACTCGCGCCAGCTCAAGCCCGCAGCTCGCAGGGAGATCCAGCTCCATCCTGCCCGCAGCAGCCCAGCCCTGCGCACCCACCATGGATGTCTTCAAGAAGGGCTTCTCCATCGCCAAGGAGGGCGTGGTGGGTGCAGTGGAAAAGACCAAGCAAGGGGTGACAGAAGCAGCTGAGAAGACCAAGGAGGGGGTCATGTATGTGGGTAAGTGGGGCATGGCAGGGTGGGACAGTGCGGCAGCCAGAGGGTGGGGTGCCCAGTTACCTTCGCCAGATCTTACTCCCCAGCCCCAGGGAGGCATTTTTGGAGGGGGCGAGGTGCTGGCTGTCAAGGTGGGGTGTCCAGACCTTGGAGCATCCAGTGTCTTGCGCACACCCACGTGTGTTTGTCTCTGGCCTCCTCAGGACCTCTGGGTGTCAGAGACTGCAGACAAGGCTCGCTACCTGTCTGTGCACACACAAAGACTCACCCAAGCACACCAGGTTCCCCTGAGCCTGGAGTCCCTGGAGCCATGAGCAGCCTGGAGCTCAGGCGGCCCCCAACCTCTCCACACGGGAGCCACTGCAGCCAGGCCATGGGACCCACCCTACCCAGAGAGAAGGGGTGGGCTGGGGGATGAGACCCAGGCTCAGGGTTCCCTCCCGCCTGATACCCTCCTGGCTCCCTCCGAGGAAGGGAAGATCAAGCTGATGACTCAGCTCTCCGCCGTCCAGTCCTAATGTTGCTTCCGAGGCCCCGCCACACCCAGGCAGGGGCTGGACCCTCAGGCCGGGTCTCTCTTGTCCCCCTCTTCTGTCCCCTTCCTATCCAATCATTTCCTCTAGACACAGCAGGAAGCGGTCCTCTGAATGGGCCGCCTGCCCCCAGACACCATCCTCACCCCCCTGCGACCCTGCAGTTTGTCCAGCTGTTCTGTTGTGTTTGTCCTGACCGCCCCCAACACCTGGAGCGGGGTCTGGCCTGACGGCTCCACTTCCTCCCCAGGAACCAAGACCAAGGAGAATGTGGTGCAGAGCGTGACCTCAGGTAAGGAGCCCGGGGGCCAGGAGACATGGGGTGGGCCCCCTGGGGCTCCTGCATCCTAGTGCGGGGGGAGGGTGGTGGGGGCTCCAACCTAGAGTCCTCCCTTACTCCCAGACTGGGGTCCCAAGTCCTACAGACCCCTGCAGACCATGAGGCTAAACTAGAGTGAGCGTCCCCTTCCCCTCACCAGCATCAGAGCTGCCCTGGGGTCAGAGGGAGCCGGGGCAGTCCCAGCAGAGCCAGGGCTCTGAGCTCCTGGGAAGGGGCTGCGTGCCCGACTCCAGCAGGCCTGCCGCGGGGCCGGGGCCGGGGCCAGCCAGTGTCCTCCCGCAGTGGCTGAGAAGACCAAGGAGCAGGCCAACGCCGTGAGCGACGCCGTGGTGAGTAGCGTCAACACCGTGGCCATCAAGACCGTGGAGGAGGCGGAGAACCTCGCGGTCACCTCCGGGGTGGTACGCAAGGTGAGCCCCGGCGCTCAGACCCACCCCGTCCACTCCCGGGCCCAGAGAGGCCGCTGGGGGAGACGGCATCACCCCACTCCACACCCCAGGAAACAAGACGGGGAGTCGGGGGCTGGCTTCAGTTTCAGCACCCACTGAGCGCCGGCATGGGGTGGGGTCCCTGCTTGCTCTTTGACCCGCATTCGGGTCTGGAATCCCCACAACCACCCCTTCGGGGGGACTCGGGGGTCCATCTCATAGACAAGGAAAGTGAGGCTCGAAACCACACCTCTGGACGGCTCTCAGCATTTAGGAGACGCCACATTTTGTAAGTGAAAACGGGGTCCACATGGCGACAGGCAGCCTCCCGGGCAGTGATCACCCGGCCAGGGGCTGAGTCACACGCGCCCCCTGGACCCAGCTTTTCTCCCTGTGCTGGGCGGGGCTGCTGCCTCCTCCTGGGAGCCGCAGGGAAGCAGCGTCCCCTGGTGGTGGGAAAGCAGAACTGGGTCTGACCCCACCCTCTGCACCTGCCTGTGTATGTGTGTGCACGGGTTGAGTGTGCATTTACATGAGAATGTGTGTGGGCGTGCATGTGTGTGAACGTACGCGTGTGTGTGCGGCCCAACAGCAGACAGCACAGGAGCAGTGGGGCGCTCCCCAGGGACGGGTGTTGGCCGGGTGAGCTGTCCCTGCACCTGTGACACAGCAGGCCTTGCACGTCTTATGCTTGTTAGTTCATTTAACAGACAGAAAATCCCATGAGACAGGGTGTAGAAACTAAGGCCCGTGGAGATTCATGCGCCTCGGGCCCATGGCTAGTTCATGTGAGCTTGGAATTCTGAGCAGCCTGTGCTCTGAGAGACCCTGTGGCATCTTAGGTGGTAACCTGGGCTAGGATTCTAACCTGGGGGTGGAGTGGGGGAGCAGCGTCCAGCTCTCCTACCTGCTGCGGGCCTCCTGGGTGGTGGAGTCCCAGGCTCCCAGCTCTGAGAACCCCTGTGTTGGGAGTGAGTGGGTGGAAGGGTGGGGGCTGCCCTACTCCTCCTGGCTCTGGGGCAACGCCCAGGTGTCTGCTTCCAGGGCCAGCACAGGGTCTTCATGTCCTTGGAGCCAGCAACTGCTCCCCCCCTAGTTCCCCTTCCTCTTTGTATGAACTTGAGAAGCAAAAGAACCTCTCTGGGCCTCTGTGTCCTCATCTGCAAGAGGGTGGTGAGCGTGTCGATCTCCCTGGGCTGTGTGATGAGGCAGGGCCATGACCCCCATGAAGCGATTCTCCTGGCCCATGTCTGCACGCAGCAGAGGAAGGCAACCATCATCATCATCAGTGCCCTGGGCAGAACACATAGAGCCCCAGGAGGCCCCTCCTTCCCCACCCCCAGCAAAAGAGGCCCTGGGATGAGGGTGCCCACACTCCCAGTGAATCCTGGAGCGGGCTAGTGAGCCCTTGGAGCCACCTCAAGGGAGACTCATCTCCTGGTGACACCCAAAAACCAGTCATGACTCATCTCCCGGTGAACCATGAAAGGCCTCAGCAGAGATGGTCTGACCGCTCATGCCCCTACCCTCATCACCAGCTTTAAGGTGGCAGGACTTGACAAGTGGTACCTGCCCTGCCCATGGAGAGCCTGGCCGACTCCAGCCAGCACAGCACTGCCTTTTTATGCCCCACTCCGCTGAGGGGCAGGATGCCCCTGGGGCAACACAGAGGTGGCAGGACTTTCCAGAGGCAGGTGCTGAGGCCAGTGTCCAGGCCAATCACCAGTCTGGTCCTACACACCCAGCTGTCATGGCCTCTCACACAAATGTCTGGCTGGCATGGAATGCAGGAGACAGAAGACGGGAAGTGGGAGAGGGTTGTGTAACCTCTGCTGGCCCTGACCAGCCTGAGCCTAGAGCCTGTCCAGGAGGCAAGGAGAGGAGCTCATGCTCCTGGAAACTGGAGTGGGCCTGGAGCAAGTCTGACCTGATGCCCACACCCCCCACCACTTTGAGCTTGGAGCCCCTGAGCTGCATGCCAAGCCCTGTGGCCTCAGAGTCCCTATGTAAACCCCAATCAGCCTTCCTTGTAGGGCTACTGAGGGTGGGGTCTGACCTGGGGCTTCAGGGGCCTCTGCCCACCCTCACCCCCACTCCACCCACCTCACCCAGGTTCCTCATCAATGAAGACCAACTAGGGGTTTCTCAGAGATTGGGGACCAGCTTGAAGGGTGAAGCTAGGCTCCAGGGTACTTGGTGCCCCTGGAAGGCCTTGGCATTGTCAGACAGAGCCGAGGCCTCCAGCCTCTCCAAGCACAAGGCCTCTGCTCCTTTTTGGGGCCCGGGTGGACAAGGCCTGGTTGCAGGCAGCTAGGGGTCTCTGCATTCTCCACGTGGTCTCAGGTCCCTTTTTCTCCCCTACAGGAGGACCTGAAGCCAACTGCTCCCCAACAGGAGGGTGAGGCTGCCAAAGAGGAAGAGGAAGTGGCCGAGGAGGTAGGAGCTAGCTCCTGGGGTGCACCATGGAGGGTTCCTGGGTAGGGACCGCATGTCCCACAGACTCACTGCTTCCTTCCAGAGCCCACAGGGGCCGCCTGACCTTCTGCAGCCTCCACAGGGACTGTGGGTAGGGCTAACCTTGAACCTGAGTGGGAGGTCCCCACACAGATGACCTGTCAGGCGTGGGGCACACAGGACAACCTTTCCCAGCCCAGTCAGGGTCGCCCGTGAGGGTTGGGGCCTGGAACTGTGTGTGCAAGTCATTCTTTCTCCCAGGCCCAGAGTGGGGGAGACTAGAGCTGCAGGTCAGCGCGGACGCCCTGAGGAGCGCTCCTCTGCCTTGGACACCATCCCCTTCCAGCACAAGGAGTGCCCGCCTTGAGTGACCTGTGGCTGCCCACGCTTCTGCCCTCATGCCTGGCCACCCTGGCCTATCACCTGTGCTGCTGCACCGACCTCACTGCCCTCCCTCAGCCCCGCCCCGCCTCTGGTCCTTCTGACCCCACATATGCTGCTGTGAATTTTTTTTTTATGATTCCAAATAAAACTTGAGCCCACTCCAGCCATGCTTCCTCTCTGTGCTGGGTAGCTTGAGAAGGGATCCCCAGGTCCCCCCCAGGAAAAGGAGCACATGCAGCCTGTTGATAGGACCAGGTACCCTTCGTGGAACCTGTGTGAACAGGCACTGCCTTTAGGAATACCCCCAACCCACCCATTGCCTTTAACATGGAGGAGGTGGCCCTGCCTTTGGCTACCCAAGACATTCGGCAGGATTCACAGACCCATCCACAGGGACAGTGTCGCTCAGCCTCACGGTGGCCCCTGCCTGCCTGCTCTGCATCCCTGAGGAAGCTTCTGTCAGCAGGAGGTGAAGATGGGCTCCTGGGGCTTCCCTTCATGTGCGTCCTGGGCTCCAGTGTCGCACAGGGAATGGGGCCACCTAACTTCCTCCCTGGGGCAGATGGTAACTTTCAAATATGGAGAAGTCTAAACCTAGTGAGAATGAAGGGCATACCTCAGCAGAGACAAGAGGTGATCTTGCGGTGCCTCCCTCCTGGCCCCACCCAGCCTCACGCTCCCCACAGGACCTGGAGCCAGGTACCCCCTGCAGCCCTCCTGCACCCAGAAGCCTGTCAGGTGCCACTAAAAACACAACACAGATGCACGAGGCCACACCTTGAAAGAAAACTAAAAGGCAACAGCTGCTGACTTCTTCGCAGGTGTTGACTGGGCCCTGTTCTGAGCACTTGACCTTATTCAATCCTCAGCACAAACCTCTTAAGTCGGAGCTGTAGATCCAGGTTTTGCTGAGAAGCACAGGACTGGGCAGAAGCCCAGGTGGCCCCAGCCCTGCTATGGCCACGGGGACTGCATGGGCCCCGGGGTGCTTACAATGGATCGCCCCCCACCCAACCCAAGGTTTCAAAACAACCTCGGGCCCGCTGGCCAGTGTCCTACATGAAGAACTGTTTGCGTCGTGCCTGGCAGGCTTGTTCAGAGTGGGCTAAGCAAACAGCCCCACTGGCCAGGGTTGTTTTGAAATCTGGTATGCCTGACAGGCTTGTTCAGAACAGGGTTCCCTGGGGATCCCGCCTTTCCCTTTGATACTCAGACGGTTTGGGCTTAGAGCATCTCAGTGACTTGCCCCAAGCCTCCAGGCCTGGGTGTTGGAGGCAGAGCTTAAGTCCATCCACACGTGACTTCAGACACTGCCCTGTCCACACCACCTCCCCCTCCAGTCTCTGCAGTAGGTTCAAGGGGAGCCCAGGGGGCTGGGAGCCCAGTCAGGCCTAGCTGAGCAGAGCTGTATGTGCCGTCTAGCCATGGACATCCACTGGGAAGGCAGAAAGGAACAGGGGGCTGCTGGTCTCCACACCCCCAAACCCTGCCACGGGCAGGCAGGATGGGTCTGGAAGCAGCTCGGGACAGTCAGGGCTGTTCCTGCTCCCCAGCCCAGACACGTGCACATAGCAGGCCTGTACGAACCCCAGGAGGAGGGCACCTGGGCCTGGGTGTGCCCGAGAGTCCTCTGGGCTATGAGAGAAAGCAAGGAGGGGCAAGGCCAGTCAGGTGATGGGGTGAGGGAGAGGGCACCTATGCCCAGCTCCCAGCGACAGCCTTCCCCAGGCTCCAGGGCCCTCTGCCTCTGCTGAAGAACCCCGGAGGGGGTCCTGCTGCACCTACCGCAGCCCACCCCCCCCCCCGTAACCTCCCTCACGCACACTCAGGTCTTGTTCCTGGACTCAAATAGCATCACCAGGAAGCCCCTTCCCAGCCGTGGGCACCGGCAGTACTCTTTGCCTTTGAACCCTCATGTGCTCTGCGCCCTGTGAGGCTGCTTCTGACCTCCCGGCAGGAGCACGGTCAACTCCCCTTATCCACAGGGATACACCCAAGATGTTCCCAGATGCCTGCAACCCCAGACAGTACCGAAGCCTACATATCACGGATCTTCCTACACATACGTCCCTATGATAAAGTTTATACATTAGGTACAGTGAGAGACTAACAATAACAAATAAGAAAATGGAACAATTTTACAATACACTGTAATAAAAGTTATTTAAAATATGAATTATTTCTGGAATTTTCTTTTTTCTTTTTTTTTTTTTTGAGATGGAATCTCACTCTGTCACCCAGGCTGGAGTCCAGTGGCACCACCTCTGCTCACTGCAACCTCTGCCTCCCAGATTCAAGTGATTCTCCTGCCTTAGCCTCCCAAGTAGCTGGTACTACAGGCGTGTAGCACCATGCCCAGCTAATTTTGGTATTTTCAGTAGAGTCAGGGTTTCACCATGTTGGCCAGGCTGGTCTTGAACTCCTGACCTCAAGTGATCTGCCTTCCTCAGCCTCCCAAAGTGCTGGGATTACAGGTGTGAGCCACCACACCCAACTATTTCTGCAATTTTCCATTTAACATTTTGGACCTTACTGATAGTGGTATGGGGACAAGGGAAAACTTCCCCTTTACCCTTTGAAAGTTGACTGAAAAGACAGCTCATAAAAGCAGATTAGGAAAAATGGAATACACATTCATTAGCATGTGTATTCCATTTAAAATGTGAATTCCATTTTCTATGAGGAGGAAATCAGAGTGACTGTGCCACCATGAAATGGGGTACAGATGAGCAACGGGGAAGTGTGGATGATTTTAGGGGGCTGGTAAATCATTTTTAGGGGAATTCAGTGGGCTTGAAGAACATATAGTGGCCTTGGACAAAGCCCGTTGGGCTCCCAGAGTGACAACGGTTGCAAAATCTGGGTGTGTGAGCAGGCTGCAGTCTTTCTTCCTGTGACGTGAGTTGTTGGAGAAAACTCTGGGAAAGGACCAGGGGTCACTGTTTTCTTTGGTGGGTCGATTTTAGGCAGATGAGGAGCTTCAGAGAATAACTTCACCGTGTGCTTTGGAAGAGACAAAGAGTTAAGGGAGCTGGGGGAGTCTGGTCAGAGAGACCTTAAGGCTTCTTCAGTTGAGAATGTCACAGCATCATACTTTGGGGTATTGGTTTCTGAGCCCCAACAGTGGGTAACTGCAGAAAGTGAAGCAGCAAATTAGCTGGGTGTGGTGGCAGGCGCCTGTAATCCCAGCTACTCAGGAGGCTGAGGCTTGAACCTGGGAGGTAGAGGTTGCAGTGAGCCAAGATTGCACCATTGCACTCCAGCCTGGACAAGAAGAGCAAAACCTTGTCTCCAAAAAGAAAAAAAAAGTGAAACCGCAGCAATGGGGGTCCATGGTAACATGGCCTTCTGCCCCTCCTTGTCTGAGAAGCACCAGTGACCTGCACCTTCTCACAACGTCCACTGCCGAGTGCTGGGCACCCTGCAGCCCATTTATTCTTCACAACACACTTTGGGGAGATGCTGTGATGTGATGGGGATGTTGAGGCTCATGACTTGTCCTAAGGGTATCTGAACCCAAGAAGTTGGACTGCAGTGCCTACCGCCAGAGCCACGCTGAGCTTTCTCTATCATCATCTGCTGGGGGCTGGCTGTCCCTCCCCACAGGAGGCTGTCCAGCTCATTGCCCATGAGACCTGGAGCACAACGGCACCAGCAGCCTGTGATGAACAGGAGCGCACAAAGGCCTGCCTGGCTATCAGGCGCTACCAGTGGGATTCCAGGAAGGCTGGCAGGGCTGTGGCTTGGGGGGCAGGGCAGGGCTGAGCTGGGTCCCCCAGGCATTGATCTGGCCACTTCCAGGGAGAAGGGGTGGGGGCCAGGAGGACCATCGCCGCTGCTGCTTTGTTTTGTCTGAGACCTGCTCCCTCCCTTCCTCCACCTAATCTCGCTTGCCTCTTCCCCTTGCCCAGGGTTGACCTCATCTCCATTAATCCATACCCAGCGTGTGTGTGTGTGTGTGTGTGCGCGCACACGCACGCGCCTACGGGCACACTTCCAGACATCCCCCTCTAGGGGCCAACCATGCAACACTAGAAGCAGTGCATGTGCTGGCAGAGCAGGGCTGTGTGGCAGAGGCTCCTCAAAGCTCCAGAATAGGGGGGACGCCAACGGAGGTACAAGAAACAGCCCCAGACAGGAAGTGTCAGAAAGACCCAGAGACGCAGGGCGAGTGTGCACTGTCCTCCAGGCCCTGAAGGCCGACTCTGGAGTGGGAGTGCACCCCCCTGGGTGGGGCCTGACCCACACCCCTTGTGTGCCAGGGGAATGTGTCACAAAGGTTGTTTTTCTGGCCCCAGGGATGACCTCCACTCAGGCTCACGTCCCTAAGTCCCCTCCTAACAGCCACAAGTCGTACCCTAGCACCTTGCCCGCCCCATCTCAGGAAAGGTGACCTGAGAGGCCCAAGCTTATTCCTGCCCTCCCTGGGCCATGCTTCCTGCCCAGCTTCCTCAGGCCTCGGTCACCAATGGCAATCTCCTTGCCTGGGCCAGGCACACACACACTGCCCTTTCCCCCTTGGGGTTGCATGGTCTGCAGGTGCACACGCCCATGTCTCATCCTCTGGGGGGAAGGATTTACGAGGCTCCCTCTGTCTTATCTACTGGGTCACAGTGGCTGCAGGCAGACAGCCAGTCAGCAGTGCCCCAGCAGGTGTGTGGGGCTGGGGGCTCTGCTGTTGCGAGAGCCCTAGGGTTTACAGCCACCTAGGAGGGTTCGCAGATTCAAGTCTCTGCCACATGAGTTTGGGTAAGACCGACCTAGCTCTCTCTGCCTGCTTCTAGATCTATACTGATGCTATTAATAAAAATACCCATTTCAAGAGATGGTTGTGAAGATCACACTAGTGACTGAAGAGCGTAAGGCAGTGCCTGGCACAAGACAAATCCTCAATAAAAGGCCGCTGCTGTCATTCGTGTCGACACCAGCCCTGTGCTCCTGCCCTGGAGCTGACCCAGCGCTCACACCCAGGATCAGAAAGGGAGGGCTGGGGCTGATGAGCTGGGAGGGGTTGTGTGCCCTTCTCCTGCCCCCAGCTCCTCTCTGGACCCCTGCCCCAGACCCTCTGCAGTCCTAGCCCTTCTTCGGTCCCTGATTGGGTCCGCCCCTTTCCCACCGCTGCCCGCCTGAGGCCAGGATGTGCTCCCCGGCCGGCGGATTCTGGA